GTGTAGTCCATACACAGAGGGACTCACACTAGTTGTTTTGAAGTACACAAGGCCAGTTCCTCCAAGTCCATCCAGTTTCATTTCGTCTATTCTCCAACAAACTACTAACATGACCTATGTATTCCATAGCATACAAGTCTATCTGGCACTCACCTTTTCCCGCTCAGTATTTAGCATTTCTGCCGATTCTGAACCTCGTTTTCATCGCCTTTCTTGCTCCCTTTCATTGTCTCTCTTGCTCCCTTTCATCCAATATATTCTCAATCACTCCCCACCCATCCTAGTCCACTCCGTGTCTATCCGATCACCATCCTGGCCTGCACCAATCTGATATTTTTGTGCATGACCAGCTCGCCGCAATGGAGATGGTCAGTCACCAACCCGGCACAAAAGGATGTGCCATGCTTGTTGACCCCGCACCTGTCAGGTAGGGTAAGCATCTTTCCCAGTCTGCTCTCGATTGACACTTTCTGACCGAATCGGGTGAGATCAATAGAATAAGGACCCAGAAGGAAAGGTCGGCGTACCTATGGACGTTATGGATGCATGCATGCCCACGAGCTTTCCAACCATTCATGGTAAGCAAGGACGGCTCCGCCATGGCCTGCATTCAGTCGGCATCGCACGAATATGCTGAGGGCACCAGATTTAGAGGACGTGCGACACTTCAAGGCATGCAATAACTCCGCGCGATCGTTTTCTGGCATGGGCTGGCAAGAACCATGCAGGCTTGACATTGCGATGGTGAGTTTTGTTTGTACCCTGGTCCTGGAATGTGTCGCGAATGGCAGTGATGGTCATGTAGGTCGATATCATGAGCAACGTGAGGCAGAGCACAATACGCGTCCCGGGACGATCGAGAGAACCTGGGTGGTCGACACAATCTACCCCTGTGTTACATCTCCAAGGTATGCACCGGGTACCGAACTTGTGCGAATGATGCTGCAAGCATCCATTGGGCCACAGGGACTGTTGCATGACAAAGTGCCCACGAACGAGGTTGCAGCAGATGGGCTGACACCAGCTAGACAGTCGGTAGCCTGTCTCTCATTTGCGTGGGAGTGCAAGCTGGGTCAGACACGTCTTGACGGATACCTAGACAGTCAAGCAGACCATGTCATCAGGCTCACGACCCAGGGGATATTATGACAGTCGGGCACACTCTTGATGAGATCACGTGATGTTTCGTGAGCAGGCATTGCTGAGAGCTCGAGGTGAGTGCCAGGTACCGGCAAGAATGTTTCGACAAGCCATGGCCTTGTACAGAGACCATCCAAGATGACTCAGCCAGTCGTGGCAGAGGCAGCAGTAGCAGTGCAAGCTGCACTCACATGGACCTGCTATAGGTGAG